GTTTTAGGGTTTCTATTACTGTGAAGAGACACCATGACCACAGCAACTCTTATAAAGGAAAACATTTAATTGAGTGGCTTACAGAGTCAGGGTCATCCATTATCGTCATGGTGGGACATGGCGGCATGCAGGCAGACATGGTGCTGGCTGCATCTTGATATGGATGCAATAGGATGTGGTCAGAGTGTCATACTGAGTGAAGCTTGAGCAAAGGAGACCTCAAAGTCCAACCCCACAGTGACACATTTCCTTCAACAAGACCAGCATCGCCGGGCTCACACCTTTAATCCCAGCACTCAGGAGGCAGAGGCAGGTGGATCTCTGTGAGTTCTAAGACAGCCTGGTCTACAGAGTGAGATCCAGGACAGGTACCAAAAGCTACACAGAGAAACTCTGTTTTGAAAAAACATGAACATTAGAATTTTTATTTACGCTCTTTCCCACATACTCTCTCTGTACTTTCCCTCCGCGAGGTCTCTCTGTCTCTGTCTCTCTTTCTCTCTGTCTCTCCTTCTTCCTAATAAAGCTCTGAAAAGGTAAAAAAAAAAAATCATTTTTATTTACCTGCTCTCTTATTTGTGGCAATTTGTGTGAGGTCCTCTTTCATGCTGCTCATCAGGCCCTTTGTTACCCTTCTAAGCAGTCAAACAACTCATTCCTATTTCCGTGAATTCTATGTCACCTGCCCCCCCCCCCACCCCCGACCCCTGGGAGTGAAGCAAAGTAACCAGACTGGCTTACTTTGAGGCAGCATCAGGAGTGGCCTCCTTGGGAAATTGCTAGGGCTCGTACATGGCCTGCTGTGTGGGTGTGGACTGGGAACCACCTACACCTGGGGAGAGCATCTTGGCCCAGCCACTGTCAGTTTGACTGGGGACTCATCCACACTTTGGAAACAGGTACCGAGTCGAAACTCGGCTGCTTCATGACAACAAGGCTTGAAGCTGCTTCCTTCTCCTCACCTCTGATAAGGGACGATCCGTGTTTGGGAGGGGGATTCCTTCTGTGTGACTTCTCTCCGATGACAAGTAGCACTTAAATGGCATCTCTAATTCTGGGTTCAGTAGAACGGGGATTAAATGTCTGGATGTAGGCCTCTACTTTTAAGATAACTCCCAGCGGCTAATAATAACAGGAACATGTATTTTTTTTTTTTCAGGATTGGTAGTAAACCATGAATATGGATGCTATTTTAGATCATGGAAGTTGCCGGTCGCCCTAAACTGTCTTATATTTAGCAGCCTGGGTCTAGGGTTACATATCAGGGTACGTGCAGGGAGCTGTTTTGCTGATTGCAGCTGTCCTGCCGTTTGCCAGAGCTAATTTGCTGATCCAGGAGCTGAGGCCAGCGATTTTTATGTCTGCATCTGCCTCGGCCCATAACTTGTGGGCAGGGACAGAGCCGCTTCAAGACGTCCGCCCGAGCGGGCGGCGGGTGGGAACTGTGTTCCCTGGACGTCAGCCCTTCACAGACAGCCAACTCTCTCTGCTGAAGAGTGCTTTGTGTGTGTGTGTGTGTCCCTCATAGCTTCCTTCCATGCTTGCTTTTGCCTCTGGCCCCCATCAGGGGGTGAGCAGACTTCCCGGGGTCTCCCTTAGTGGGATTCGAATTTCAAAGCCGAGCCCGGTTTCTGTGCTTGAGCAGGTGCCCAGTGAATGCTGGCTGGATGAGATGAGTCTCCACACAGTTGGGCAATGGCTCTGAGAGCCATTACTCTGCTCCTGCTCTTGGAAGGTGTAGCTAGAGCAGAAGGCCGGATGTGGACAGTGCTTTGAGTTTTTCTGCCCAGCATCTGTCTTTCCTTCTGGTAAAAGCTCTCTGGTTTTTCTCTGGGGAGTCACCTTTCCCACACCTTCCATCTGTGGAGATGGTGTGGCCCTAACCTCCCACTCAGCTCCGGTGGTCCAGAGGGAGGGAGGGGAGAAACTTTCACACTCCTGGCTGCAGCATCAATTTGTATTGGGCACACCTGCTTGATGATGGTTGGATACTCTATGGGCTGTTTTTTTCCCCCCGTTTCTGGCCAATTGTCTATTATCTTGTACAGTTAATTCTCCTCCCACCCCAGTAATTATGGAAGGGAACACTTCAGCTCCATGGGTGTTGCTCAGACAGTAGGGAAAAGTCCAAAGCGGTCGGCAGCCATCTCATCACTGTGAACCTAGAACAAACACATCGAGTTGGGGCTGAAGTCAGGGGATGTTTCCAACAACACAGAACACCATTATCTAGCTGTTCTTCACATTCTCCCTCCCTGGAGTTTTTCAGTTACACCAACAGTGAACCCCACTTTTTGCTTCAGCCTGCTTGTGTCATTGGCTGGTGGAACGGTCCCCTTGGCTGATGTCCCAGATCCTTTTCCAGTTGCTGTGATGAAATTCCCTGACAGTGGCAACTGAAGAGAGGAAGAGCTTGTTCTTGGCTCACAGAGGGTGCAGCCCCTCATGGCAAGGAGATCCCAGCACCAGGAGAGAGAGGTGGTTACATTCCTTTTTCAGGAAGTGGGGTGTGTGGGGGGGTGTCCCTGAACCTAAATCCCTCTTCAGGGCACCATCTGTGGGAGGCCAGCTCCCACCTTTTTATAGGGTTCCTATGAGGAGTTGAGACGAATAAGAAACATTTTAGATTAAAAAAAATAGTGGAGAGGAGACAGACAGAAACATAGGATAGCTTCGGGAGGACCTGGGTCAATATCCAACGGCCCCTTCTGTCTCTTCAAAAGGATTTTTTATAACAATGCCAAGGGACGGGGCAAAAGACCTCCCCCTTGCTAGATCAAAGCACACTGCACAGCCAAGTGTAGACCCTTCCAAACACCTGGTAACCACAGCCATGGTCATGTCATCCCCTTGTGCAGCCCTGCTGGGTAATGAGCTCAGGTCCTTTCTCCCTGACTCCACCTTTTCATTCACTCCAGGACCCTGCCTGAGGAATGCCGCTGCTCACAGTGGGTGTACCTTCCCATCTCAGTTACCTAATAGAGATAATCCCTCACAGTCTTGCCCTAGGCTTCTCTTCTAGGCAAATGTAGATCCCATCAAGTTGACAATGGAGATACATTCCAGGGAAGAGGGACATCCAGACTTTATAAAAATACTCTAAGGAAGAGAACTGTCCCATATTGATTCCAGTGCTTAGAGCCCTAGGGGCCAACACAACTCAGAGCCCCTCTTAACCCTGTAGATCCCACTGACAAGAGTTTCATCTTATTTTGACTTTAGCTGAAGTAACGTTTTAAATGCCTCATAGGTCAGGCATAAGGTAGTTTAGTGATGGGGGCTTCTCTAGCCCCACCTCCATCTTTTCTATGATTTTCTCTATGGAAGAAGGCTGTGGTGGATGAGCACATTTTGATTATGGAAGTTTCTAGAAGGGTGAACACAGCAAGAAAAATAGACTCATACGGCATGGTAAATGGGATTACTTAAAGCCATTTTTATTTTGCGCTCTCAGCAACACTTTCCATTGGGCAAAGGACCAGGGACCCAAACGAACACAAACAACAAGATGTGAGACACAGGGTCTAATATGCTGGAATGGCGCTGGCATCCCTGTGCACTGAGAATCCTGTCCCAGAGTCAGTCTCCTCCTGGGACAAGGGCTGGCTCGTGACACACCTGGGTGGAATGACAGACAGATTCTCATGCCTACCAAGTTTTCTTCTTGTTGCTAGGGTCCCGTGTCTCCACAAACACCTTAGATCCACGATCACCATGCTTCATATTTGTTTGTACATAGAGTTCCCCCCAGGGGCACGTCTATCATAGCAATTAATGTTCATAGCAGTATGAGGGAAGGAGGTAGCCATTCTTACCTCCATTCTTCAGAAGAAGAAACTCGCCTAAAATCAACTTGCACAGTGTCAAATAAGTAAACACAGAGTGGCCGGGCATGGCTGAAGAAGCCTGTGATCTCAGCATTCAGGAGGCAGAGGCAGAAGGATCATTTTTAAAGTCACTTTTGGCTATATAGCAATTCAAAGCCAGCCTAGGTTGCCTGAGAGCCCCCCAAAGAAAATCCCACCCCCCAAAAGGCATTGAAACAGGTGTTTGGACTCTCAATCACTTGTTTATTCAATTAGAACAGGGTCTCTTTTCTTTATTCAAATTCATTGTCACTGTGTTTTTGACATTAATTCTGGAGATTTTTTTTGTCATAAATATTACCTATTAGGTTAATCACCTGATATCTACCACTGAGTCCACTTACTCAAATAATACAGAGCATCAGTCCATGGAGAACCACAAAGTGGAAGCCAATAACATCACTGAATTCTATCTAGACTGAGTGCTGTGCTGGACAATGTCTGTACTGGCAGGCAGGTGTGAAGGACCCATGGGTACCCGAGAGACACATTCTCCTTGCAGTAACCAGGAAGGAGAAAAGATAAAGCACGAAGCATTCTTCAAAATTCAGTGTTATTTACCATTGTAGTTATAAATTACTTAGAAATCACCTTGTGTACCACCCATGACACATGCTTTGCACACTGCAAGATCTCTCTGCTAGCATGCTCCAGCAGGTGGGGTAATGTTATCATGAAGCCAGGACATTCACAGTTGAGGTTGAACAGGAAAAGAAAATGCAAGGGTATAACTCTTCCAGATAGCATCCAGGGAAGTAAGGGTATGACTCTTCCAGATAGCATCCAGGAAAATCAAAGTTCTTGCCCAAGATTTGCTAAAAGAAATAGGTATAAAAGAAAGCCACATTCCATAAAATGGCCAGTTTATTCTCACATCTGGGGTGGGGAGGGTGCAGCTATGCCTAGGATCTGGGTTCATTCTCAGACTCTGACTGGCCAATACATATACAAGCAAAAGGGGTGAACTATTGGGAAACATTTAAAATGGGACAAAAGTCTAAGAAAGTCTTGCGTGAACTCTGGGGTTGCTGGGGGAGATGGAGAGAACTTCCAACATGGGAAAAATCTATGGGATCAACTTACTAGACAACTTTAACATGCTACAAAGATTGTTCTCGATTTTGTAAACACCAGCATTCACTGCTCTCCTTGGAAACCACCTGCTCCCTCCAAATCCAGATCTCCCAGTGACATTTCGTGAGGTTTCTGGAGTTCATCCCCACAGAAGAGGAACGGATGCAAAGGGTTTGCCGAACTGAGACATCAAGACACCATTTTCTTGTTTTTCATCAGTCAGTGACGCGGATGGGCATGTCTGTGCCACTCTGATTCCCTATGTTCCCGACTTGGTGCTCATTTGCCAGGGTCCTGCCTCTGGAGAGTCCTGGAGGAAAAGATCTCACAGTCTAAAAATCAAGGATCCATTCCTCAGAAACTTCTTGGGGTGTGTGCGGATGAGGACCGTCCTCCACGCTCCCAGCTGATGGCTGGCTCTTCAGGAGCTATGTGGTACAGAGAGGAGGAGAGAGAGTGAGACAAAGACAATGGGCTGAACTTCTGGGATGGCCTTTCAGGGCTCGCTGCTCTCCTTTGATGAACTAACCCTGACTGGAGGATGCTGACGTGGGCTAGCAGGCTTTTATGCTTTTGACTGTAAGCACTGGCTTACTTTGGGAAATTTTTTTTTCACCTGAAAAAAATGTATTTAATTTTATGTGTGGTCTGTGCAAAAACCCTGAATGATACAGATGGAATTACATTCCCTGAGCGGTCCAGTGCCTCGTTCTCTTCACTAATGACTTTTAGTTCTCAGTGTTGGGTTGTATATATCCTGTGGGCATTTTCTTCTGCATTTAAATCCATGAATAGGCAGGTGTGTGTGTGTGTGTGTGTGTGTGTGTGTGTGTGTGTGTGTGTGTAGCATGTGTGTGTGTGTAGCGTGTATGTGTGTGTAGCCTGTGTGTGAGCGTGTGTACACGTGTGTGTACTTAATGGGATCATGTTGCATTCAGTATCCACTGGAGGTTGGTCTCAGGACAAGCACTTGATGGAGAAATGGAAGCAAAGGTGTATGGGTAAAAAGAGGAAGATCACTCCAGGTGCTGGGGACAGAAAGTGCCAAGGCCACAACGCAGGAGGATGCTTGTGGTGCTCCCACAGAAGAATCCGATTGGCTAGAGTAGAGAATGCAGAGATACTGTGAGAGGAGGGAGGGCAGACAGCAGCCTTAGAAAGGAAATTTCCCTGTTTATGTTGCCATGTGGCTGTCCTTCCTAAACAAAGCACTGCTTGTTTAATCTGTGCCATGAAGGACATTTAGATTCTTTTTTTTTTTTTTTCAAAATTATTTTGTTTATTATATAAACAGTGTTCTTTCTGCAAGTTTGCCTGTACACCAGAAGAGGGAATTAGATCTCATTATAGATGGCTGTAAGCCACCATGTGGTTGCTGGGAATTGAACTCAGAACCTCTGGGAGAACAGTCAGTGCTCTTAACCTCTGAGCCATCTCTCCAGCCCCCCTGGACATTTAGATTCTTTTAAGGGCTTCCCTTGTTCCAGACAAAGCCTCCTGGAGCATCTTTGCACAGGCATGGCTGGAAACCCTGGCTGCATATGAAAATAACCCAGAGAGCCTTAAAACCCACTGCGCCTGCCCTAGTAGCTGGAGATTCTAGCTTAGCCTAGGGTGAACCATGGGCTAGTAGTTTTTTTTTTTTTTTTTTTTTTTTTTTTTTTTTTGGTTTTTCGAGACAGGGTTTCTCCGTGTAGCTTTGCGCCTTTCCTGGGACTCACTTGGTAGTCCAGGCTGGCCTCGAACTCACAGAGATCCGCCTGGCTCTGCCTCCCAAGTGCTGGGATTAAAGGCGTGTGCCACCACCGCCCGGCCGGGCTAGTAGTTTTTAAAGCCCCCCAGCATGGCAAGAGCAGAGAACCACTGCTTCTCATGCATTTCTGTGCATTTGCATCGTGTGTGTGTGTGTGTGTGTGTGTGTGTGTGTGTGTGTGTGTGTGTGCTCATCTATGCTTGTGAAGGTCAGGGTTGCACCAGGTATCCTCAGTCACCTCCCCACCTTCATTTTTGAGTTGAGGTCTCCTACTGAACCCGGAGCCTTCCCACTAGGACAGACGACAGGCAGGGATCCAGCAAGCCCAGGGATCCTCTTGTCCCTGCTTTCCCAGTGCTGAGATGATAGGAGCATGCTGTGGCCGCTGGATCTTCTTTACATGGGTGCTGGGGAGCTGAACTCGGGACCTCAGGCTCGCACAACAAGCACTTTACTGCCTGAGTCATCTCCTCAGCCCTTAGGGTGGGTTTTGAGGTGCGGAATGGGTGTGTTGGTGGGTACATGGGAACACGGTTATTCCCTGTATCCAAAGGGGATTGGCTCTAGGTCCTCCCATTCCCGGGAATACCAGCATCCATCCAGACAGCCCAAGTGGCTTGTCATTCATGCAGAACCTGCATGCATCCTCCCATCTCTAGATTATTTATACTTCTGAATATTCAGCGTCAATGTGGAGATGGTTGCTATGCTGTATTGTTTAGGAAACCACAAGAAAAATGTCCTCAGCTCGTGCGTGATGAAGGTGCAGTATCGTTCTAGACGGTTTGGGCCTGAGGGTGGTTGAATTTAAGGATGAGGGACCCACAGGTACAGAGGCCTGGCTGTTTATCCAGAGACAGCCGCGAAGACAGTCCCAAGCTGCTCCTGTACCAATAGGAAAGTGGCCAGTGTTTCACACTCTGCCGACCTTGCTATCCAACTTTTCAGCCGCTTCCAGCTAGCCGGGGAAATAATGCAGCATTTAACTCACATTTTAAACCGCGCTTCCTTGCTCACTAGTGAGGTTCTTTCCTTCTTTTTCTTTGGAGACAGACTCTCACTCTGTAGCCCCGGCTGTCCTTAAACTTGAGGTGGTCCTCCCGTCTCAGCTTCTCCAATGCTAAGATTGCAGGCCTTAGCTATTGTATGTGCTATATTCTGTTTCTTAATCACATCCCACTAGCTTATATTTTTTCACAATTAAAAAAAAAAGCTACCATTGTTGGATACTTAAGCTTTGGATTTTTCCCTGTCTTAGTTTATCTGAGCCTGCCCAATCTTTGAGAAATAGGTCCTATCTCTATTTTTATTAGGAATAGAAAAACTTCAGTGAAGATATATTTATATAAAAATAATACCCAGGAAGTCTTTATTGTGTCCAATTACACAATAAAGAACACCATTTTGCTTTTATTTATTCTCTTTCTCTGTCTCTCTGTCTCTCTGTCTCTGTCTCTGTCTCTCTCTCTCTGTAGGTCAAAGGACAACTGTGGGAGTTGGTTCTCTCTTTCCACCATGTGTGGTCCTGGGGATCAAACTTGGGGGCATCAAACTTGGAGGCAAGCCCCTTTGCCCACTGAGCCATCTTGTCAGTCCCAGATTTGCTTGTGTGCTTTTGAAAAAAGACCAAGTTCTTATTTTATGCCACCTCAGAACGTGACATGTGTCCTTCCAATCTTGATACAACTACAGCCTATTCTGAGGGCAGGAAAGGATGGGTTCCTGCCCATAGCTGTACAAGACAGATGCTCTCACAATGGAGAGTAGGTTAATAGGTACTGTGCACCTCCTGTTGGGTACCCGGGACACTGGGCCCCCTTAGATGGCAATACCTGCTTACTGTGCACCTCCTAATGGGCATTAGGACCCCTACCCTTCTTAGATGGCAAGTCCTTAAAGAAACCTTTGGGCACAAAGGCTCTGTGACTACAAATGACAAGTAAACACTAGTTTGTGGAAGTGTTTCATTTTATGAGACAGGATCTCACTGTATATACCAGACTGGCTTCAAACTCCTGATCCTCCACTCTCAGTTGAGATCGAAATGAATGTGACTCCATGCCTAGCTAAGCGATCACTTTGAATACAGTTAGGAATCAATTTTTAGCCATTTGGACATCCCCAAGACCACATAGAGGTAATGTCTGGGGATCACATTGTAGATTTATTTTACTTAATGGCAAATCTATGCTATTCCACAAAGGCCGGAGAACCTGGCTGCCACGACACTCAGTATTCATGATCATGGATGGGAACGCAACCCTTACCCTCTTAATGTGAGCCTAGAGTGTGTAGTGCCTAGGGAGCCACCAAGAGCTCTACACACAGCCAGTGACTTGGTTTGCAGTCCCTTCTCATCCTTGGAAATGTGTGTGTGTGTGTGTGTGTGTGTGTGTGTGTGTGTGTGTGTGTGTGTGTATGTGTGTGTGTGTGGAGGGGGGTTGCCTGGGGCTGATCAGATCTGCTCGAGTGTGTAAAATGGCGCCCTCTTCTAGAAACTTCCAACAGGAAGTTTGATTGCACTCAACACCAGAGAAGATGTAAGACGTCCCTTAGTTGGGTCACCCCAAAATCCCACATTTGTGGCACAACACAGTCATTACCTTTATGCCCAAGCTTTGTCTTGCTGCTAACAAAGTTCCATTGGTCCCATGGGACATCAGACAAGTGGCCGTGAGACAGGCCATGTGAGGAAGGAGGAGAAGATTCGGGTGATGAAGTGTCAGCAAGTGTCTAGGGTGTGGCATGATTTCTGCCCCAGGTAGCTGAGAAATCCCCTAAGCCCTTGCAGATAGCATCGCTTAGAGAATCCTTCCTTCTCTTTGACCCCCATTCCTGACATAGAGATTCAAGTTTTCTTGATTTTTCTTGGGTAATAAGATTATCTTTTGTTCTAGCAGATAACTCTTGGTTGGTCCTAGATAGCCTAGTGATGCTGGATTGTTGCCATGGAAACCAAGCATGCGATGAAAGGTCAGTAGTTTTCAGTCCTGTTTCTTTTTCCCTAGGAAGGGAAATAGGTTGAAAGCAGAGTTGATATAATTCTTCATGCCAGCATTACGAAGCCCCTGTAACCCTTCAAAGAGACAGGGTCTGAGAAGCTTCTAGATTGCCGCCCACGTGTGCCTGAAGGATGGTGCACACAGAGTGGCAGGGAATCTCCCATACCCTTCCTCTCTTCCATCAGGATGCTCATCTGCACTCCTCAGTGAGGTACTTCATAGCAAGTAAGGACCCACTAGTGTTTCCTTGAGTTCTGTGAGCCAACTACGCAAATGAAAGGAGTCTGCAGAGGGGTCATGGAACCCTGGTTTCTGTCTGGTAGAAAGCTACATCTAATTGGAGGCTGTGGACTGACATCTTGAGTAGTTGAGCACTCCGTCGATGGGATCTGGCTGTACCTCTTGATAGGGGGTATCTGAATTGCAGGGCCTCCAGTTGGTGTTTGCTAAGAACTGCTTGTTTTGCGTGGTACTCTACCAACCTACATCTGGCTACAGAAGTGTGCTGCCTTGAATGTAGAGAAAAAAGGAAAACATGTTTTTATCTCTTATGTTAGGCACGTAAACAGTCTGGTTTTATGGCCCGCGCTCCTGGGCGAGAATGTTTTTCATTAAGTGAAAACTGTAGGGCAGTGGTTATGTGATGTTAGAATATTTAGAATCAATCCCTTGCGAGATGATACATGTTTTAAGATCACTCCAGGGCTTGTCTGAGACCCAGAGATCTACATTTACAAGGCCCCCAGCTGAATCTGTTACAGGTGGTCTGAGAGCTGAGGGTGCTTTGAAAAACATGACCACTGAGACTAGCCTAAGCTCGCTTGAATCTTCATGGTACTCAGGAGAAAGCTAAACCCTGCAGCCATGTTGGCTTGGGTCAGGGATTTACATATATTCAGGATGAGAAATACCACCTTTCATCTGTGGGATTCATCTCTGCACTTTTTTCTGGCAACTTGAGGGCAGAGAAGTCCCTGACTTTGAGAGACTTCAAGTTTCTGAAGCTGCTTGGACCGGAACCATCTGATAAGACACTGTTCTATGCAAATTACTGAATATTTGCATGCCTCTCAGATCTTCTGAATTTGATAACGTAAAACTGTCCTCAAACATCACGTGACTTACTTAGGTAGTCTATAGAACTAGGTGAACAAGAACTTTCTGTGAATTTACTTAAAGACTATAACGATTTGGGATTATTTAAAGAAACACGATGAAGACATAGGCCGTTTGAGTTCTATTCTCCATCTTGATGAGGATAAAGACTAACTACTTTTAGTAATAATAATAATAATGATAATAATAATAATAACAATAATGATAATATTTTTCAGTGCCAGGGACCAAACCTTGGATATTGCTCATGCCAAGCAGATACTTTAACACTGAGCTACATTAATTTTTTTTAGGTTAATTTTTTTGAGATAGCACCCATCTAGCCCAGGCTGATCTTGAACTTGTTATGTAGCTGAGGATGACCTTGAACTCTTGGTCTTGTTGCCTTGTCTCTCTGCCTCTCAAGTGCTGGGGTTATAGATATGTACCAGCATGCTAGCTACCAAGATCAAATTTTTGTTTATTTTATTTAAAAAAGTTTATTATTTTTATTTATGGATGTGTGTGTATTTGCATGTGAGTGCAGTGCTCTTGGAGGCCAAAAGAGGGTATTGGGTCTCTTGGAGCTGTAGTTGTAGGTGATTGTGGGCCTGCTGGATGTGGGTGCTGGGAACTGAACTCAGGTCCTCTGGAAGAGCAGCCAATGCTCTCAGCCTCGGAGCCATCTCTCCAGCCCATTTATTATTAGTTTGTTGGGATTTATTTACTTTTATTTTCTGAGTATGAGTGTTTTGTCTGCATATATATGTTTGCCCTGTGTGCATGCCTGGTGTCCTTGGAGACCAGAAGAGTACTGGGACTATAAAGGTGTGCACCACCATGCCTGGATCTCTTGTTTTTAAAACAGGTCCTTTACGGTTTTAAACATCTCTCCTTTTTCTTTAGAGAGGAGTTTTGAATTAAACTCAGAAATCTACCTTCATGGCTTTGCCTCACCCAGGCTCGGTGTCCTCTGCTGTCAGATTTCCCTTCCATGAGGTCCTTGCTGGCTTCCAGATTGTTCCAGCAGAGCCTGCCATGGGGACAGGCGCATGTCCGTAACCCTACTCTCCTCCTTGGCATTGGCTTAGAGCAAACTAGGGCAGTGAGTCTGCTGATGTAAAGGAAAACTGACCACTGTGCTGAGGGCTACCCTTGGTGTGTCTTTCCTCTGGACTTTGGAGGAAGAAGGCAGGATTGGACCACAGGGATTCTCTTAAACACTGGGATCTAAACCCCCGGGTTGCGGGGGGGCGGTGTTCAGAGCTGAAACATTGCAGATCCCCAGGCTCACATCTGATTTACCCAGTTGGAACCCTCTGGGCATGTTTTGGATAAGAATGCCTATAAACCTTTCCAGGTGATTCTTTGGCGGTGTGAAGCTTGGGGACCCCTGTTTAATAGTTCCTGGTGGCCATTCAATTCCCATAAAGTAGGGCAGGGATATTTTATTTTAAGGGGTTACAGAGAATTCGGCCCTATTATTCCACTTACTGGAAGATTTCAATTGATCTTTTTCTCTATAGGCTGCTCTGCCCCCCCCCCCCCCCCCCCCCCCGTCTCTCATCCACAAAGAACAAAATCTTTTTCTGTGGCAGGGTCTTAGTATGTAGCCTGGACTGGCCTTAAACTCTTCCTCATCTCACCCTGGCAAAGAGCTCTAAGTTATTCGGGGTTTCCTCTTGGGATTCTACCTCTAGAAACCCTCTTTCGTTTTCGTTAATAACTTCGGACAGAAATGTATCTAAAAGGAATCTGACCTTACAGATAGGTAGGGAACAAAGAAGTCTGAGAATTTAACAGCTTGCCCAGATGGTCTGCGTGTGAGCCGGAGATTTTATTTTGAGACAAGAGCTCACTATGTAGCTCAGGAACTCGATATGTAGAACGAGCTGTCCTTGAAACCATAGAGATGGGCTTGCTTCTACATCCTGACTGCTGGGATTAAAGGTGTACATCACCAGCCCAGGTCAGAACTAGGACTTGAATCCTGGTAACATTGATGACAAAATCCATGCTCTAACCATTGTGAGACACAACCCCCGAGGAAGAAAGAATGAAGAGGTGACCTCCAATTGATAGCTTTTATTCGTATTAGGAGAGTTTCAACCATAAGCATGCACACACGCCTTGACACCATCTGGAAACATTTATATTATGAATAGTGGGGATCCTCATGTGTGATGACTTCTGGATCCCTTGTTCAAAAAAAATCTTGGGTGGTGATATCTTAGGGACAAACATCTTTTTTAAAAAGTTATTCTATTTTTTAAGTATGTGTGTGTATGTGTTTATGTGTGTGCGTGTTTATGTGTGTGTTATATGTGTGCAGGTGCTGGTGGAGGCCAGAAGAAGGTGTCTGATGACCCCGGAACTGGAGTTACAGGCAGTTGTGAGCTACTCAGTGTGGGTGCTGGGAACCAAACCCAGTTCCTGGTTAAGAGCAGGAGGCAGTCCTCACCAATGAGCTGTCTCTCCAGCCCCGGCAATCTGATCTTTGATCTAAATGTTCACCTCAGATTGCCAAGCAGACAGGTTCCAACCGCAGGTGTGGTCATCATTTTATGTTTTATTATGGGTTTAAACCGTGTAGTTGTCAACATCTAAATCAGATTTCTAACCCCTTTTAAAAATGGGGTCAGCATCCTGAGGGATGGCTGCTCCCTTTCCCATGCTTCACCAGCCCCCATGTCTCCCTAGTGTTTCCTCAGTAGGCCACTGCCTTCGTGTGTGTTCCCTGCCTGACCCCTGATGGCTGACTCATTACACACCTCATGGTACTGCCACCCCCATCCACGAATGCTGGAGTGACCGTAAAGCAGGGACAGTTTATCCCTGTCACTGGGCAGACTAGAAAAGGAGGCCTGGATGGAGAGAGTGTGAAGCTGTAGTTAAGAGCCCAGCACAGGGGCTGGGACACAGCCCAGTGGGTAAAGGGCTTGCCCTGTAAGCATGATTTCAGGTCTCCAGCACCAACATGAGAGCTGGGTGTGGCAGTGTGAGTCTGTCACCCCAGTGCTGGGGGCACAGACATCTGTCTGGGTTCACAGAGAGACTCGGTGTCAAACAATAAGGCAGTAAGGCAGTGAGAAGCATGTCCTAACATCAACCCCTGACTGCCACGTGACCTGCAGAGGTGAGTCTACCAGCACACACATATGCATCCATGTGAAATACACACTCGAGCACACACAGACACACACAGAGACATGCACACAGACACACAGACACAAAGACACACACACACAGACACACAGACACAGACACACACACAAAGACACACAGACACAGACACACACACAAACACACACACAAAGACACACACAGACACAGACACACATAGACACACACACAAAGACACACACACAGACACAGACACACATAGACACACACACAGACACACAGACACAAAGATACACACAGACACAGACACAGACTCACAGACACACATAGACACACACACAGACACAGACACACAGACACAGACACAGACACACAGACATACACACACACACACACACACACACACACACACACACACACACACACACACTCACACACACGAACCCAGCACAAAGAGCTGCAATTAAATCCTATCTTTCCTGTCAACCATCTGTACCTCACGCTCCTTCTCTGCAGCATGGCAGTACCTCTTGGGCTGCTTGGAGTGTTCATATGAGCTTGTCCTGTGAGAGCTCCTGTGTTGCCTGGGGTGTGACAGGATCTGTGCCAATGACAGCCGCTATTACTATAACCTACTTAGTTCTAAGTCTGATCTGGGCAGTGTGCGTTTTCACACGTCCTCAGAAATGAAACCGAGGCTGGCTTCCTTCCCCCGGAACACTGTCCTTTGAGCTTGGCTCATGGTACACAGTCCTGAACTCCCTTTAGAGTTTTCTTAACACCCAAGGCCCTCTCCTGCCATGTCTATCGCAAGAGTAATAGTAACTTTCAGCAAGTGGTCTGCGTTCTCTGTGTGCTAAGACGCAGCCACCAAGCTGTACACGTTCTCTGTCACCTGCTTAATGTTTACGGTAGCTTTATGGACTGACTGTGAGTCACAGCTGGGGCAACTGAGGTCTGAGAAAGTTCAAACAGTTGGTTTGGGGTAAGTGATAAGTGATGACCTAGGTCCAGGCAATCTGGTACTAAGCTTGTACTATTATCCATGCTCCATAGTTACGCGCATGCACGCACGCAAGCACGCACGCACGCATGCACGTGCACACACACACACACACACACACACACACACACACACACACACACACACACACACACAGTGCCTTCTTTAAGAACGAAGTCCAGCATGTTCTCATCTGTCCTCCAATATTCTCATCTTCCCCCGATTCCAGGCCCATATCAGCAGGTTTTAAAGAACTTGATGATGACATCCGTGTCATCTAAACAAAACTTCTGAGTTCCCTTTGCTCTTGTAGTGTCCCTTTCTTGGGACACTGCAATGTGTTTATTTTTCCCCTGGGACACTTTCTGTTAGGACGTGAGCTCCCACATCCACCTGGTCCTCATTGCTGGTGGATCTCTGGCTTATCTGACAGGAAGTTGATCTCCCGTGGCATCCTCTGTCCCCTCGATTGCCAAGGTTAGGCTGGCTGATCTATCCAGGTTAAGGATATGACTTCCTCCCTCATCCACCCATGAGAGTCTCTTTGGTCAACGAAGCCAAAAAAAGGTTGGCCTTCTCAGCTTAAGGGACAAAGTGCTTTGGTCAAGGATGTGGAAGAATTAGTTGCCCAGGAAGAAAAGCTAACGTATTCTTGGCCCCGTGGGTTTGTGCTTCTTTTTTTCTGGGCCCAGGCTACGCACCACGTGTCCTTTGCCCCTGTCAAAACTCCGATGGAAAATGGCATCGATGCTATCAGGGGAAGTTCATTTCAGCTTATTAGAGAATTCAGAAGAAAAATATGTGTAAGTCCAGAGAGAAGCATCAACGTTCCTCTCTTTATGACAGGAGAGCTCAGGGGTGACCCCAAAGCACATGGCTTTTCCGCCCTTGAACTAGGAATGAGGCAAGCACCTGCAAAGTCACGCAGGGCATACTTTTGCAGACATGCAGGTATTAGATGTTCCACTTACGCCTTCCCATCTCCTACCCTCTGACAGTCGGGTGGGGCCACGAGACAGGCTTCAGTCATCTCATTGTGAGCCCAAGTGACATTTGCTCCGGCAGCGGAAAACCGCATAGGTTCTCTGATCTTCTTCACTCCCCGCCTTAGCCTGACATCACTTCCTGTTCTAGAAACGAAGGTTGGGGAACTACAGCCCCCAGCTGAAAATACTTGCTTTTGTAAGTAAAGTTTTGCTGGAACACAGCCACACCGATCATTCGCACGCTGTCTATGACTGCTGCTGTGTCCCAGCGGCAAGCTCAGTACTTACGACAGAGGTGGGGTGGTAGGGACCACATGTCCTGCAAGGCCTGGAATATTTACTACCACGCCAAAGCAATTTAGCCCCCGTGTGGGAAGACCGGCCTTGATATGCCAGATCGAGGATTGTGGAGTGCACTTTCCTGGGGGGACTTGCTGATGAAACCTTGGTTCCAGGCAGCACACGAACAGTTGGATCCCGACAACTTGGGTCAAAAAGGAGGGAAGAGGTGACTTCATCCTTGCTGGAGTGTGCCTAGTTTCTCTTCAGATGCTATTGAAGGTTCAGATGTACCCTTTCAAGCCTGGATCTGATTGTAAAGTTCGACTTTCTACTTTGATAGTTTTTGTCTACTTGTAGTTTGATGGGAACCTATGCAGGAAAAACTGACTCGGGTCATTCTTTGGACAGTCATGGCAGCCATGACTCAAGATGGCTACAGTCGTGTCAAGCTGATGGAATTGCTAGAATATGGTGGAGTGATTGACAGCCTGGCTCTCCGAGTGACTGCATTGGAAGCAGACCTTGCACCCGCCCTGCATGGTCTGTGTAACATGGAGAAAACGTGAAGACCCTGTTGATTTTATTATCAAAGCCGATCTTAACCTAGCCCAGTAGATTCCCACGAGCATTCGAGAAAAGCATTCAGTAGCAGGAGGGGTTCAGAAGGCCTACTTACGTCCTGGAGAAGTGCACCACACATGACACACCGATGATGACCAGGCCGATGATGATGGAGGCGATGGCCACCCACTTGGCGTTGCGCCCCAGCCTCCTGGCTCCTTCGTAGTCTCCGTCATTGTAGCTGTTCTGAGACTGGGGGGACACAAAGGAAAAGCCGGTGACCACAGATAACCCATGAGGAGAGGCATGGGCCTTCTCAGGCTGTCCTGATGGAACAACCCTTAAGGAGCCCTTGGTGACCGCTCCCCTCAGTGTCGGGCTGTTGAGAAAATAACATGGCTCTGTCATCTCCCAGGAAGCTTTCCTAAGGCCTTTGGATTTCTTCCTTCCTTCCACCAGAGGGCTGATTTTTGTCTCGCCCACCCCTATAGGGAGTATGTGGGTGGTAACGCTCGTCTCTCTCATTCAGCCCAGCATGTCAGCTCCCAGAGCCGTACTTGTCAAGTGGAAGACACTTAGTACATGTCTGAAGAATGGGAAGGACATGCCTGTGTCAGGCATTAGGGAGTCATTGCCAAGTCTCACCCGCAGCCCCGGCCAGCTTGTCGCCTGTTTGGATCAAAGCTACACTGACTCACTATTGCTGGTGGCTGCTTTTGTGCTACAGTGACAGCGTCAGGAACTTGGGACAGAAGTTGTAGCGTTTGCCAAACCCAAACTATCTGCTGTTTGGTTATTTACAGAAGACATTCAGCCATTCCTACACAAAAAACTTTGCCTCCATTATTCACCTCTATGCCCAAGTCAAGGCTACCTTTTAAGTAGTCCCCACAGACACAGCTTCTCAGGCTATTAAAATGTTGCAGCGGCTGCCGGGCGGTGGTGGCGCACGCCTTTAATCCCAGCACTCGGGAGGCAGAGCCAGGCGGATCTCTGTGAGTTCGAGGCCAGCCTGGGCTACCAAGTGAGTTCCAGGAGAGGCGCAAAGCTACACAGAGAAACCCTGTCTCGAAAAAAAAAAAAAAAAAAAAAATGTTGCAGCGGATGAGAAATGCTACTCTGAGCCTTGGTCCTCCTTCCCTCATCCCCCAGCATCCTGGGTCCTTCTCTGTATCACCCGTGACTTCTCCAGGAACTGGTGTGCTAAGGGTTATTTATTATTGAGCTCAGCAGAGCCTCCTTTCCCACTCTGTCAGGGATGCTGCTCTGTGGGTTAGTTTGATCCCCAGAAACACCTAACATGGGGGTGGTGGAGGCACAAAGGTCTGGGATCAGGACTTCAGGCAAGTCCTTGCCCTCAGCCAGCTCTAGGCCCACCTGGGGCTGCTTGAGAAAGCCGAAGATCTCATCTCAGAGGTCTGAGTTCAGATTCTATTTGAGAAGCTGTGGTAAGTGCAGAAAGTAACCACCCTTTCCAAGGCCCATTGTCCTTGTCTGTGCATTGGGGCAGGAGTAGCAGCAGCTTCACACAGAGGATCCCGTGAATTAACATGTGAAGTGGGCAGTGTTGACCCTGCATGCTCAATGCACTCCGCCTTTTACTATGAATCGGTTGCTACTCCCACCTTGTTCTTATTGTCAGTCGTTGGGTGGAGAGGGGTGTGGCAGGCTCCTCTCTACCTCTGACCACCTCCGTGATCACGAGGATCCAAGTTCAGGCAGTGTTTTAGGTGGCTTCACACTCAAAGTCACTGTCCAGAACATTAGGAGTTCAAGTTCAGTCCTTATAATCTAGCCTAGAGTGATGAAGATTCAGACCACCCACCCCTGACAAATCATTGTTCTTCCGTGTGTCCTTGGAAAACGCAATCTACGGATCAGTCATAGTGATGATTTGATTAAGAAAAGGAAAAATAATGAGACCTCCAAACAATGTTAACTCTTGACTGTTAGATAAGAAAAAAAACTCTCTTTCTCTAATAGCAGTAGGGAAGAGAGCCAGCCTGGGGCATACTGAAGGTCATAGGTATCATCAGGGCATCACCTGTGGGCTCAGGTAAGAGGCGTGTGTGTGTGTGTGTGTGGGGGGGGGGGTCTGGGCTCTTTGGCTTGTTTGGTGCAGGTCAGCGAAGCCACATTGACCACCTGGCTGAGGGGTTTGAGAACAAGCTATGGAGATACCCTTCCTCGCCTGCAGCCAACCTGGCATCCTGCCTGTGACCCTCCTCCTCGGGTACCGCCCTCTCTCCAAGACTCATGAGAGAGAATCCGAGTGAGGCCACCGCTGAGTTGAAACCATTGAGAAGCCCCTTTCAGTGCCAAGGAGGGTTCTCTCCTCTGTATCTAGGACTCCCACTCTGAATCTGGTCTCCCCTCTGGTTCTTGGAGAAGGTCTCTCCCTGGTTATCTGCTGGGTGATTGTAAAGATTGGGGGGAAGGATCAGGGCAGAAGACTATAGAATTCCCTGATTCCAGTCTGACGGACTTGTGTTATGGTAGGGGGATCAGCTTAAGGGTTGATGCCAGAGTTACTTTGCTCATAGTTGTAACAAAATATCCAACGGAAGCAGCTTAAAGGAGGGGCGGTTTCCTTTGGCACATGGCTTCAGAAGACCCGGTGCAACATGGCCGGGAAGCATGGTGGCTGGGGCTGTTCTGTCTGTAGTGGCAGGGGAATGAGGGTGGTGGCTTGTTCACATTGTGGCAAAGATCAGAAACAGAGAGAGAGGGCTTGGAACCAGAGGTGGATACAACCTCCAAGGGCTGCCACTAATGACCCACCTCTGCCAGCTAGGCCCCTTGTCCTAAACGTTCCCACAGCCTCCTCGGACAGCAGCGACAGCTGGGGACCGAGCGCTTGAACACGTGAGCCTGTGGCGGACACTTCACATCCAAACCTTTAACAGTGGAGAGTCAGCAACAGAGGAAGGAATCCTCCGGCCCTGCCCAGTGCTGGGGGTGTACCTCAGGGCCTCAGACACTCTGGACAAGTGCTCCCCGCCCTAGCTACAGTAACTCTGTCCTTCTTCCGATTAGAGTGTCATCCTAAGGGTCTCCTGGCAGGTGGGGGCAGACTGAAGTGGTGGAAATGGGTTTTGGAGAAAATGCATGCTCTGTAAGTCTTTTCTTCTGAAGAGCTCAGAAGGCAAACTCTGCCATCTGGTAGGAAAGGATGAGCAAGAAGCCTGGATGGCTTTAGTTATCTAAGATGGACGTGATCTTGTCGGAGCGGATGCTTCCTTTGACGTGTAGGTCCTGTGGCTTGAACTCAGGGCATCAGGCTTGGCAGGAAGTGCTTTTGCCTGCTGGGCCACCTCCCTGGCTCAATTTATACGATCTTACTCATTCCTCTAAAAATTATGAATGCCATCTGGATACATGCCAATCATTTCAACACCACAGAAACAAACAGAACATAAAACTTCATTTAATCTCATTTCTCAGTCTTAAGCAGCTTGGTATGCCACAAATCCTGCGAAAATAATCACTGACACTCGCTCCAGCTTCCGTGATGACTAAGCACGCTCCAACGGAGGTTAGGAGAAGGAAATTCGCACCCCAAGATAAAGCCACGGTACTAAGTCTGCGTGTCTAATCCTGACCCCTCACAGGTGAAGGCAGCTTCATTCTCAGGCAACGTTGGTGGCGCAGCAGAGGCTGTTTTCACTATGAGCAGATGACTGCAGATCCTGGTAGACTTGGCAGATCTGCCGTTGGCATTGCCTTTAAACACTCACCTGTGCTTTTCATTGGCTGGCTGGAACTTCTGAATTGGACTTCGTTGCATTTCTTTCTAAGTAGGTCCCCTCTCCCTTTCTCTCTCCCCCTTCCCCTCCCCTCTCTCCCCTCTCTCTTCTCTTTTCCCTTCCCTTCTCTGCTCCTTTTCTGTATGTTTTGGCTCCTGCTATAGTTCAGTTCTGGAATGTTCCGCAATGGGCCACGTGCTGCAGACTCGGTGGCGGAACCTTAAGAGGTGAGGCCGGGAGGCTTCAGGTCACTGAGGGTGTGTCCTTGAAGGGACTCTGGGGGGCTCTGGTTTCTCCTCCCCATCTTCTTTCTGTGTTTCCCCAGCTTCCGTGAGGAGAGTCGCTTCCTCTACCTTGTGTTCTTATCATGCAGTTGACTCCTCACAGACAACAGACAGACAGACAGACAGACAATGCACAGAATGCTCTAGAACTATGAGCCAAGGCGAACCCTTTCCCCTTCCGAGTTGATGGCAGGTATTTTGTTGCAGTGAGTGGAGAGCTGGCTGGTACAGCCTCTGACTTACCCTGTGACGAAATAGCGAAGATAATGGACAGCATTTGTGGAGCATTGCTTAGGGCCTGACATCGCGTTAAATGCTTTCCAAGGGTTGTCTCATTTCTCCTCAGCTCTCTGAGGTAAGGAGTTCATCATTACTGTTTTATTGATGGGGAAATTGAGGTACAAGGTTAAGCCAGTCACAAAAAAACTAGCATGGCTTATTTGTTAAGTGTGTGTGTGTGTGTGTGTGTGTGTGTGTGTGTGTGTGTGTGTGTGAGAGAGAGAGAGAGAGAGAGAGAGAGAGAGAGAGAGAGAGAGAGAGAGAGAGAGAGAGAGATGGGCCTTTGGTTATTATTACTTTATATATATATTATATATATAATATATATTATATACTTTTTTATATATAACTTGCTGGCTTCCACCTGCCCCAGGGTAGACAGCCTTCCAGGCTGGTGCTTCTAGCTCCGCCCTGTTTCTGTGTTCCGTTTCCATTCATAATTCAAGAGACTGAGTTAGAGGGACAGACTTCCTCCTCTTCATGTCCTGCCATCGTTGTACCCTTGGGGAAAAGTTATTTATTATTACAAGAACTTCCTGTGTTGCCCAGGCTGGCCTTGAACTCACTCGTGATACTCCTGTCTCTGTCTCCTGAGGACTGGGATTAAAGGTGTCTACCACAATGCCTGACTATCTAGTATTTATATTTATTTATTTAATTTGTGTGTATGTATATAGGGGGTGGTACGTGTGCGTGTGTGAGTGTGTGTGAGGGTGCAGAACACAACCTCAAGTGTTATTCCTCAGGTGCCTACCTTTTTTTTTTTTTTTTGGTTTTTCGAGACAGGGTTTCTCTGTGTAGCTTTGCGCCTTTCCTGGAACTCACTCTGTAGCCCAGGCTGGCCTCGAACTCACAGAGATCCGCCTGGCTCTGCCTCCCGAGTGCTGGGATTAAAGGCGTGCGCCACCACTGCCCGGCGGTGCCTACCTTTTTATTGAGACAG